TGCCGCTGAGCTAAATCCCCAGCCCCGAGGGAACATTTTAAAACTAAGGCTAGTTTGTTTTTCATTCTCTTAATAAAATGCCTCGTATTTATTGATTTGTGTATATAAAAACCATCCTTTTATTTCTGGGATGAATCCCTCTTGATCATAATCAATGATCTTTTTAATCTGCTGTTGTCCTCACTTTGCTGGTTTGCTGATTGGAAATTTTTGTATGTGTGGTACAAGAAATGCTAAATTTGAGTTTTCAAGCTGTGAAGCAAGGGATACTAATGAGTAACATTAAAATCTTTGAAAGTGTAAAACTTACTGATAAACGTAAGACACATTTGACCTATCAAGATTCAACTATAAAGAAATAGAAAATCTGAGCCAGCTAATAATGAATAAGGAAATTGAATTGGTAGTAAAAAGTCTACCATCAAAGAAAAGCCCCAGAAGTGGTGGCTTCTCTGCTAAATTCTGTCAAACAATTTAAAAACAAAAAACAAAACAAACAAAAAACGAGACATACCAATTCTTTCCAAATTATTCAGAAAAACTAAAGAGAATACTTCCACATTCATTCTGCAAGGCCAGCGTTACCTTGATACCAATACCAGATAAGGGCATAGCAAAAAAGGAAATTGCATGCATGTATCCCAGTGGAACACAGATGCTTCTCTGAAGTTTTTGTCTGGAAGTATATTAATTTCAAGTCCAAGTGATGATTTTACTGGGCAAAGTATTCTTTTTTTTAAGTGACGCAGCTATTTTTATTTTCTTATATGAAATGACAAGTCCTGAAGCTCTACTATATATGGATTCAAATCAGTTGGTAATTGTGCCTGAAAATTTGGACTTGTGTCCAAAGCTGTGAGTGTCAGGAGGCACCCTGCACCTCAATGCCATGTTCATTCCTTCACTGAAAGCACCCTGGGGGAAGATATGTATCTAGACTTCTGGGATCATCTTTCCCATGGAGAGGATGCAATTCTACAAGTTTGCATGTGTTGGGAGTGTTCAAATCCCGATACTTATCCTGAATATCATCATGCTGACTGACTGATGATGAATGAAACACAGAGGCTCCATTTCTTCTGGTGATCTCACTCTCAGGGGGCTCCAGTGAGTCAGGGTTATAGTCATCTGAAATCGCAGAAACTGGTCAAGTATTTGTACCAGGTTTTTATAAAGGAGCCTTCTCCTTTTCCAAAAAGTACTGTGTGGATGTTTCAGATGATGAATTTAACTCCATTTTTAGCTGGTTTTTCTTCCACTAGTTTAGTTGTAATCCAATTTTGCAGCCAATTGTTTTATAAAATCAGTCTACAAAATTGTTCTTCTCAAAGGCATCCTTCAATACTGACAGTTGGTATTGGGTAAATACAGGATGTGGTGACAAGTACATTGTTTCTTTTCTGGCTTTGCTTCTATGGCAGCAAGGACTCAATTCGCTGCAGATACGTGGCTCCTCAAGTTGTGGTCTGGGCGCAGTATTCTTGTCAGTTTTTTCCTTCAGTACTTTGAATACATCATTCCACTCTCTCTGGCCTGTGAAGTTGGCATAAGGAAAAGTTTGTTGCTAGGTGTATTGTAACTGTTTTGTTTTATATAATTTAGTTCTTTTCTCTTGCTGCTTTCAGGTGCTTCTCTTTATTATTATTATTATTATTTATTAATTTATTTATTTTTTGATGTTTTTGAGACAGGTCTGCCTGTGCATTTTAGGCTGGCCTTGGGATCATTCCAAAGCCCAGGCTGGCCTCACTCGAAACAATCTTGCCTCACCCTCCTGAGTGCTGGGATTACAGGAGTGCACCACCACACCCAGCTTGCTATTATTTCTTTAATGAAACTTTTTTTCATGCTTTCCAGGCAGGCCCTGTACCACTGAGCTATATACCCAGCACAACTAAACTTTTTATACCTGTTCTTCAACACCAGTCATTGTATATTTGCTCTTGTGCTGAAGTCCCATAAATCCTGAAGTTGTCTTTGTTTTCATTTCTTACCTCCTTTGCCTGTGATTTCACATAATTTGGCTTCTAGTTTACTGATTATTTTGCTTGGTCAGTTTGGATGTCGATGCTCCGTTTTTTTTTGTTTTTTGTTTTTTTTTTGAGGCTGGCTTTGAACTAACTGTTCTTCCTGCCTCAGTCTCCAAAGTGCTGGTATTATACAGGTATGTGCCACCATGCCTGGCCTACTTTTTTTTTGGAAATATATATAAATTTCATTCAATGTATTTTTTCAGCTCCAAGATTTGTGTTCAATTTTTTAAAAAATGTAATCTTCATTAAATTTCTGTATTTTTGAAGTTTGGTAGAACTTTGTTAAAACAGTTATTTTGAATTCTTGTCAGGCAGTTAATCATTTCTATTTTATGAGGCCAGTCTCTGGAATCTTTTCTCCATTTGGTGATGTGTTTCCCAATAATTCTTGATTTCTGTGGTTGTTCCTTATGCCTATATGTTGATGTGTTGAAGAAGTAGATATGTATTTCAGTCTTTTCAGCCTGGTAAAAGTCCTTCAACAGCAGGCAGTTCCTAAGTCCATGAGCATTACAGCTGGTGCAGTCTTGGGGGTGTGCTAAGCCCAGGATTGCCATGACTGGTGAAGGCGGGTTTAATAATCCCTGTACTGGAATTGTGTGGCCATTGAGGCTGATGCAGTGTGGGAGGTGGAAGGGGTGGGGATAGAGGGGCAACCTAAAGCCCATGGCTACTTGGATATGCCTGTTGCTGAGGTTTGTATGGAACTCAAGCCCTTTGCAGTAATTGGCAGTGATGTGGGTGAGAATGCAAATCCATTTCCCAGAGACTGTTCTTCCTGGTGCCAGGGATTCAAGAGGACCATCCATGGATACCAATGTGGAGTCAGGCTGTGAGTTGTCTGGTGCTAGATTTTTACTATGGCAGGTCAGTATTGGGATTCAAGACAGAGTCCTAAACTTACTTTTCTTTGATAAATTTTTTTTTTGTCTTTTTCATTTTTATCGGTACCAGGGATCGAACTCATGACTGCCTGCTTGCAAGGCAGGTGCTTATGCCGCTGAGCTAAATCCGTAGCCCCCTAAACTTACTTTTCTAAGCTCTCTTTTGGTGCTATGATGGGTGGGATTGAAGGAACAGTGACATGGATAAAGTAAAAGTATTCTTCCTACCCTTTTTAGTGCATCTTTTGTTACTTTCATGCTATAACTAGATACTGTGATCTCTCATTTGGTTTCTTTAGTTCTTGTGAAGGTAATTTAATGTAATGGATAGTCGTTCAAATTGATGTTTTTTCAGGTGAATGATTGCTAGAGAGCCCTGCTCCACCCCATCCTGGGAACTAGACCTTAATGTTAATGAATTGGGATGGATTATGGAATCATGCAGGGAGTATAAATTTGGATTCTGTGCAAATTTCTACATGGTCCAGCCCTGGAATTTGGTTCTCATAGGTACCTCATTCTGCTTATACAGTATCAATAGGGCAAATGAAAACTTTCTTGCTGCTTCTCAGAGAGTGTGTTTCAGAGCTGTTTTTCACTCTCCTTTCTTCCTACTGAGCAACCCTTTCAGGAACTTGCCTCAAAACTGGAATTTTGCTTCTAGCTTTTTCTTAGGCATTCTGGTCGTGTAGGCTCAGTATACCCGATATGCCTTAATGACAGTTGGAGTTCATATTTCTGGCTTGGAGTTTTTACCTTTTGGGCACCTAAGAATTTCCCTCTCTTTTCCTCCTTTTGAATTTATTTATTCTAATTTTTCATATTAAGCTGGCATTTCATTGAGTGTATTTAAGCACATGAATGGATTAGCCCATTTTGTGTTTGCTTGAATCAGAAGTCTAATAAACTATTCTTTAATTTTTTTCTGCTTTGTTTCACAAAAAGGTATTGAGACTGAATTATATTACTCTCTCTCATTTTTATTTTGTTTTTGTTTGTTTTGAGACAGTCTCACTATGTATTACAGGCTGGCCTAGACTCATTGTATAGTTTAGGTTGGCCTTGAACTTGCAGTGATCCTCCTGCCTTGGCCTTCAGAGTGCTGGGATTAAAGAGTGCACCGTGGACCCTGTGGCTGGTTATTATTTTTCTCTTTTTTAAAATACTATTTATTTTTCAAAAGGTTGATACATGCATATAATCTGAAATTGGAAGGATATAAAGGGTATATGTATATCCTTTGCTCAATCCACCTACCTCAGTTTCCCTTCATAGATGTAACTAATTATCGGTTTCTTATGTATTCTTCTCAGGGTTGACTGTACTCGAATTTATTCTTAAACAGAAGTTTAAACTTTCACTTAGTGTGTGCTTTTAATTTTGTGGCCAGTAATCAGAATTTTTCTATCTGTGATATGTAGTAATTGTATTTTCTTCTGCTGTAAGAGATTTGAAGTCAGAACTTAACACTAATTATGCCACTTACATGTTTTATATATGTGAATGAATTAACTTTTAATTTTTGTTCGGTTCAGAAATCCCTCAAAATGTGAAAGTGTGACAAAATAGTATAGACTGTTTTTTTTTTTTTTTTTTGGTCTTTTTGAGACAAGGCCTTATTATGCAGTTCAGGCTGGCCTCTCGAGCTCACTTTGTATCCCAGGCTGGTCTCAGACTCGCAACAGTCCTCCTGCTCCAGCCTCCCGAGTGCTGGTGTTACACTGGTGCAGTATAGACTATTGACAGAACAGTGTAACCTATTGATTATAATGTCTTAAGCTATGTAGAATAGTAAAATGATAGAAATTTTACTCTTAATTTTTGGAGGCAGTGGAAATAATGCTTTAAGATACTAGAAATGTAATTGAAACATTTATGAATATCCTTAAAAATAAACAGTACATGCTATTATTTTCATATGTGCAAACTGCCCAAAGCAAGAAAGTCTGTCAAAAACAACGGTCTTTCTTTTGGGTTTTTAACCACAGTTTGTATTATTGATTGTCTAGCTGTAGCTTGATGATATTCAGTAACATGGAGGGAAGAAATGGAAGCCTATGACCTGATATGTTTCCTTCCTTAGATCAACCTCTCCACTTCTCCTACACCTGCACAGTTAATAAGCCGTTCCCAGGCTTCCAGTTCTACCAGCGGCAGTATTACCCAACAGACTATGTTACTAGGGAGTACCTCCCCTACCCTAACAGCAAGCCAAGCTCAAATGTATCTCCGAGCTCAAATGGTAAGACAAGAGCTACTAATACTTTTCAGTGTCTAAGGTTGGAAGAAATCAAAATGTTTGTAGTTTGGTGCAGTGATGCATTTTTAATACTTAAGAAATGTTTGGTAGTTTTTTTTGTATGTATGCTTAGCTCTTACACGTTTATCAATGTCATGAAAAATTCTACTTTGAATCATTAGACTTTCTTGGTAAATAGTAATTATCAACCTTGGGAAACTAATAAAGATTTTGTAATGTAAAAGAATTTTTTTTTTTTTGTACTGGGGATCGAACTCATGACCTTGCACTTGCCAGGCAGTTGTTTACACCACTGAGTTAAATCGCCAGCCCCCAAAAGGATTATTTTTAATATTAAGTTTTTCAATTTCAAGTCAGGTGGGATGATAACTGCGTGTGAGTTTGAGGCAGGAAGATTACAAGTTCAAGCCCAATATAGGCAACTTCGTGAATCCTTGTCTCAAACTAAAAATAATGAAAGGAGGCTGGGGATGTAGCTCAGTTGTAGAGCACTTGCCTAGCATGCTTGGAGGCTGGGTTCCATTCCCAGTACTGCCAAGACAAACTTTTTCTCCCTATATTTTAACATCTCTGAAGTTGAGCTATATTTTACAGTCAATTTATGTTATAGTTACAGCATTATAGTTGAACATAAAATTATTATATACTTTTGACATTTTAAATTTGACAACATAGTGAAAAATGTTAAAAACTTAGTTATTAGCTATTAGAATTTATATCCCGTAACTATGTCATAATATCTGGATTGGAGTTCCTGGTAATTTAATGCATAATTTTTAGCTTTGGTTATTTCCATCTCACATTCTATTTGTGTTTTTGTACACATTTTGATTTTTTTAGTACATGAATGTTGATTTAGTTATTTATTGAATACCTACTGTTTTCCCAATTTAATTTTAAGAAATGTGGAAATTAGATTATTTATTTTATTGGCTGTCTTCACATGAAGATGTACAAAGACTTTGGGAAAATCTAATATGCATTCTTTCTTGTTCAATCTTGAATATGTGTCTGGATCTCCAGTTCTTCATGTAAAGTCATATTTTAAACAGGAGAGAATAATTATATGATTCACCCCTTATTCACAGATTATTTAATAAATGTTATTTTTCTGGGGCTTTTTCCTTATGACATGTTCTTTACTTAGAATGTGCTATGAAATAATATTTAACCATTTGAAATGGGTGTTATTTGCCATTTTTGATCTCAAAAATTGGTAATTTATATGATTCAAATTAAATGAACAGTCTTTTAAATTCAGTGCTTTCAAGCTGTTTGTACCGAGATTTCCTTTTTTTTTGTTTGCCAAAACTATTTATTGTTGAATTTTGTAAAATGCTGAACTAGATTTAATGATCCCTTCAAGTAAAGTTTAAAAACTCCCTTAATATTTTAATTTATGCAGCAATAGGAACTGAATAATTCTTGAAGTAGTTTTAGAGTATTTACATGTCCTTTGAAACTACTGTCAGAATTTATTAAGTGAATTAGATTCTACTGCTTTAGAAATTGATATTTAACATTAAAAATTTGAAAAGATACGATAAGTACATAGAATGTCTTTCACTTTTTCTAATGTGATGCTTTTTGTTGTCCTATTTTAACGTATTGTAGCATTTACATCTAGAATGACTATTTCTTTTTTCTTTTCTTTTTGAGACAGTGTCTCACTGTGCAATTCAGGCTGGTCATGAGCTCACTTTATATCCCAGGCTGGTCTTGAACTTGCAACAATTATCTTGCCTCAGCCTCCCAAGTGCTGGGATTACAGGCATGCACTACCATGCCTGGTTTTGAATATTTTTTTTTCAAATAGTTTCAAAATCAAGACAACCTGAGTAGTTTGTCCTATAGTACCTTCCGAGCTGAGAGAAACATTGTAATATATTGTGCATGTATTGCCCTTGTGTCAAAGATGACTGAAGAGACTTTTTGGTGTTTTTTTTCTGGTTTTTTTTTTTTTTTCCCTGAAATATAATTTGTGTCCCAAAATATTGATTCTATTTTTCTAATTTTAGATTTTTTTTAGGAATACTGAGATAATAGTTTTGAGCTAGGAAAACTTTTAAGTATAATACCTTATTTGGCACAAAATTTGGCCTGAGGATTTCATATCACCAAAATATATTTTCTTCTTTAAGGATTGAAATATATTTCTACTCATTAGAATCATGAGACATTTTAGAACTGTTTATGAGTTTTTAAGTTCTTAGCAGAAACTTCTCTTTGTCATGAAAAACGTTTTTTGCTTAGGATGCAGTCCTAAACTGCGTTGTCTTTCTGTCACAAATTTCAGTCTCTCTTGCTTGCTATACATTGTGTGTGGGACATGTTCTTTTGTCTTAGGGTATTTTTTTTTCTTTTGGCTTTCTGTCTGTACAGCTGATTTTCACACCCGCTACCACTGTGGCTGCTGTACAGTCTGACATTCCTGTTGTCTCGTCGTCATCATCATCTTCCTGTCAGTCTGCAGCTACTCAGGTGAGCTTGTCTGGCTTTGTAATGTGGTACCTGAGTTCTGGGTCTTCAGGTTAAAGATCACTGTTGCATTTGTATTTCAGCTACTAATGGCTCCAGAGTTCTTTTCATGCATTTCAGATTACAGTTTTGTAAAATACAGTGAAAACTTCAAGAAAATATTTTTGCTTTATAGAATTATAATAAACAGATAGGTTATTTGACATCTACATAAAGATAAGTAAACAAATGTTAAGGTTAATAAAGGGTTTTGCTTATGACATTGTATATTTAGTTTTATTGTAGAGCAGATTTCCTTATTATATGAGATGTGTACTTTTTGTGGCTTGCTTTGTAAATAATTGGTAATAAATAAGTTATGGTAGATGGTAGATTTTAAGTTTAAAGTGAATTAAATTGAGCAAAAAAATTTTTTTGAAGGAAACCTAAGTTGTGACTCAAAAATGGGGCAAGTTTTAAATTAAAGGAAATTAAGTACAGTAGATTTTTACTTGGTGTATGGAAGAAAACAAACCTTCTTATACCATTCATAAATATAAATTAGAAGTAAAATGTGGCTCTAAAGGTAAAAGCAAAACTATTAAACTTCTAGACACAAACAGGAATATATCTTTGCAACTCTAGGGTAGGCAAGACTTTCGTAGGACACAAAAGCATTACTCATAAAGGAAAATAACAATAAATTAGATTTTATCAAAATTAAAAACTGGTCTTTAAAAGACATCATTACAAACTGAATAAGCAAGCCACAAGAAAAATATTCACAATACATATATCTGACAAAAAACTTATACCTAGTATATGTGAAGTATGATTATAATAATATCATAAACAACCCAGTTAAAAATGGAGAAAAGATTTGAAGAGACACTAGACAAATGACAGTATACAAAAGGCCAGTAAACACCTGAAGGATGCTCACCAAACAGCTTAAGTCTTTACAGAAATACAAATCAGTAGCTAAGTGTGGTGGTACATGCCTGCAATCCTAGCACTTGGGAGGCTGAGGGAACAGAATTGCAGAAATTCAAGGGCAGCCTGGCCCTTATAGTGAGTTCAAGGCCAACCTGGATTACAGAGTGAGACCCTGTCTCAAAGAAAAAAAAAAATGCAAATCAAAACTACAATCACCATACACTACAATGGCTGAATTAAAAACTGATAATAGCACATTTGTAAGAATGTGGAGCATTAGTGGACAGAGTATAAAATGGTACAACTAAAAAAGTTTTATAATTCCTTAAAAAGTTAAATATACATTTAACATGTGACCTAGCAGCTCTACTGCTAAGCATTTACCCTGAAGGGTGTCAAAATACACATCTATGTACAGATGTTCATAGCACCTCACTTCAGAGTAGCTCCACTGTTACAGTTTGTGTCTAGATGTCCTCCCAAAGCCTTATGTAATCATTGGTGGGGCTTTTTCAGAGGAGCCTGGATCTGAAGTGTGTGACTGATTCTTGGTGCAATGCTAGAATTAAGGGTGCTAGGATCAAGGATGTGTGTGCTATTTACTCTAAGGGTCGGTAGCCTGGATGTAAGGGACAAAATGTAAGGGACAAAAAGAGACTTGCTGCTAGTTACTTGTAGTTTGTCTTTTGCTGTCTTCTGGCTGCCATAGACTCTTTCTCTTCTGCGCTATCCTTCTGTGAAGTCACCCTGCTTTGGAGCCAATCATGGATTGAAACCTCTACAAACTAAGCCAAAATAAGCCTTTTCTTCCTTTAACTTTGAGTGTCAGGTACTTTGTCTCAGCAATGAGAAAAGTAACTAAGACACTCACACTGGAAATAACCAAATGTCCTTTAAATGCTAAATAGGTAAACAAACTGGTATATTAAAAAATAGAAAGAAGCAAACCGTGGAACATCTCAAAAACATGTTTAGCAAAAGAACCTACACAAGTACAATATATCTTTTGTGATTCCATTCATGTGAGATTCTAGAACACGCAAAACTATCCTTAGTGAAAAAAATCAGGTTACTATGTAGATAATGGAGGCCATGGGTGGGGGGAATTGGGTAAGGACCTAAGGAAACTTTTAGGGTGATGGAAATGTTTTACATCTTGATTAGAAAGGTTATATGGTGGTATATATATAATATCAAAACTCATGTAACAAGTTTGTTCATTTATTGTATGTTATATACGTCATTAAATTTGATAGAAATGATTTAGGTTGAATAAATTTTAAAACAGATAGACTGTTCATTGTTTCTCCTCTGACCAGTTCAATTTCATTGTTTTTTCATAGTACCATATTTCAGACTGCATTTAGAAATTGATGTGGGGCTGGGGATTTAGCTCAGCGGCATAAGCGCCTGCCTTGCAAGCAGGCAGTCGTGAGTTCGATCCCTGGTACCGATAAAAACGAAAAAAAAAAAAAAAAGAAATTGATGTATATTAGGTCATCTTTGGCCTCTTATTTTTCATTTAATGTTTCAATCATTTGGTAAAAAGCAAGAAATAAGATAGTAATAACATAGTGATGAGTTAAATTTAGGTTTCTCCTAACTTGCTCTGTGACCCTTCCACAATTCTTTGACAGAGTCTTATAGTTAGCACTCAGAAAATGTTAATTTTTTATTATTATCCTACTTACACCTCAGTTGTTTTCACTGTAAACTGAAATAGTTCAAAGTTGTTTTAAGGAATATATGAGACAATAATCAAAAACTACTTTGCATAGTTCCTGCCATAAAATAAGATGCCACATGTTGCTAATTACTATTTTTGTTCTACATTGTCTGAAGAGTCACATAAGCTTGATTCTTGGCTTTCGAGTAGCTGTAGTGAAGAGAGAAACGCAACCATTTAAAGGATTTATAGTTTTCAAAGCAAAATAAATGAGCTGCTTAGGAAAGTGAACTATTTGTAACATCCTTTCTAAAGCATGCTTTGTTTAGGGGTTTTCATGAAGAAAACATCTTTAATGTGACAGTCGAAATCGTTTATAAAGATAGTCTTCAGGGTCTATTTTGGTGTGGTCTAAGTTATGTGGGTCTGTGACCTCAGTTTAAGGATGACCTTCCAAGGAACTGGAAGAATGGATTGACCTTTGGGAATCTGTTAATTTTCTTGTTGCTGAGACACTATACCCAACACTCACAACCTAAAGTAGGAGAGGTCTAATCTGCTCACAGTTTCAGTCCCTGAAGGACTGGCTCCAAAGCAGAGACGTCATAGCAGAAGGGCATAGTGAAACAACACTACTTAGTTTATGGTGGCTGAAGGCAAGGGAAGAGTGCCACAACTAAAGGGGTGAGGGATCATAGAACCCCACGGGAATGCCTCCAGACCCACCCAGATCCACCTAGAACTGTGCCCCACGGATCCCTTGGGTGGATCCCAAAAGCCAGAGAAGCTGGACTCCACCTCAGCTGCTACAGAGTCTCCTCCCTACCAGTGCTTTCCTTTGCTTTCTTTGAAATGGCAATGAATGAGGCTGGCAAATGATAGGTGATGCTAATACCTTAAAACTTTAGGGTAACCTCAAGTTTAGGGCTATTAGTTTTGAAAAATTTCCGCTCCAATTTGTTGAGTTTTAAAACTATGTTTGCAGTTTTAAAAAATTTACTCATAATTGAAAAACACCAAATTTGAAGTTTTACTTAGTTTTTATATTACAGAAGTCAATATAACAGTATTTCTCAGGACTAAAAAGTTTTTACAGCATATTGTAAAAAAGTTCAAAAGAAATGGAATCTCTTACACTTATTTTACTATTTTAAACGTTCCATCCCTTCTCCCCACTTTGGGAAAAGGGGGGAAAAGATTTCTAAAAAGATACTAGAGGACAAAAAGTATGTTTATGGAACAGTAAGAAATCTTACACACAGAGTATCTAGGGAATGCTGTTAGATTCAGAAAAAAATCAGCCCTTTGGATTTAAAAGCTAGAAACTCAGCTCTACTCACCAGTATGTCACATTGACTCAGTTTTTTCATCTGCAGAGAAGCAGTGCTATGATAATTTCCAAAGTACTTATTTGACTCATGTTAAGTAACCAGTGTGAGAAAACTTTGGTAGTGGGGTCTTAACTTTAAAATATAAGCCATGAAATTGGCAAAAATGCGTCATGCAAAATGTCAAAAGTCAGAAAGTTTCCATAATTTGATCATGCGAAAAGCTTAGGCAAAGTGAAAGTTGGATATAAGAGTACCATAATGTTTTTTATTTTAGAAAAGATGGATTTTGTTTGCTCAAATATGAGGCTGTGTCAAGGAAATTGAAATGTGATCTCTTACCAGGTAAATTAACTTTGTAATATTCTTTGGCAGCACAGTTCACTTAATTGGAATTTATTTATTTATTTATTTTGAGACAGGATCTCGCTAAGTAATGCAGGCTGGCCTTATTCCCATGTGTAGCCTAGGCTGGCTTTTAACTTACAGCTATATTCCTACTTCAGCCTCTACTGGGATTTACAGGCGTGTGCCACCATGCCTGGCTGGGATTAATTTAAACCATTATTTAAGCTAAGATCACAGACATAGCTATATTTTAAAATTTAGATATTCATACAAATATTATATATTACATACATGTATATGCGTACATTTTTTTCAGAATCTCAGAAAACAAGAAAATTAGAAAAAAGTATTTAGTGTTCATTGTGTCAAGTCTTTACTGAGAATATGCTGCTAAATATTTGAAAGAATGTTTTCAAGTTTTTTCCTATCGTTTACCTTTTGGTTATTATGTAGCCCAAAGATCACCTGTGGCAAATGTTAAATTCTGTATTGTCTATCACTTGCTAGTTGGGAGATTTTAATGTGTCTCCACTCAGATAATTGTTGAGTTTTTTCTTTTTTCTTTTATAAATGTGAATAGATTTTAGTGTTAGCTAAAGAAACCTTAAACAGAATTAAGCGCTTACTAAAACCCATGTAATACATATTCCAAAATCAGATAATAGAAGAATACTGCAAACTTGTAAAGTTTCTAATGTTTGCAGCACAAAATTTCAGAGCATACAGAAATGAATGTAAGAGGTAAGAGCTGACTAACCAGAATCTCAGTCTTTTATAAATACATATATTTGACATATGTCGTATATATACATATACATATATGTATATATATGACATACTTTAGGATTCTGATTCAAGCTGGACATTGTGCTGTAGGCCAGCCAGTATGGCCCAAATTCTATGAAAAAATACTTCTGGGATTGGGAAGTTCTTTTCTAACCCAGGGCTTTGGAAATGTTTTTCAGAGGACAAGTAGGATTTTATTGGAGCTGAAAGAATAGATTAGATTTAAAATAACTGATTTATCCCACATGGTGCTTTGAGGGAGAATGGCATTTAGTTAATAGGAGCTTGAGCAGGAGCTCCAAATGAAAGAAGTGCAAAGTATGTTTGGAGAATGTGGAAACAGTTTTAGGAAGAGTGAAAATTGCAGGGCTACGAGCCCAGGGTTTAGCTCAGTAGCGTAAGTGCCTGCTTGGCAAACGCAAGATCGTGAGTTCAATCCCCGGCACCAAAAACAAAACAAAAAACAAAAAGAAAATTGCAGGGCTGGAGGAATAGAAAGTACAAAGTGATTTTGGGTGATGGAAGGCTTTGAGTAGCAATCTGAGCAGTATCTTTTAAATCAGTTTATTTTGCATTAAACTTTAATAATGTTGTTAGTTATATATATATATATATATATATATATATATATATATATATTTTTTTTTTTTTTTTTTTTTTTTATCGGTACCGGGCATTGAACTCACAACCGCCTGCTTGCAAGGCAGGTGCTTATGCCGCTGAGCTAAATCCCCGGCAATACAAATATAAATGACCAGGGCTGGGGATTTAGCTCAGCGGCATAAGCACCTGCCTGGAAAACACAACGTCATGAGTTAAGTCCTCGGTACCAAACAAGCAAACAAACAATAAAGTCAACATTTATTTGTATTGATGCAAAATACTTGAGAAAAATCAGTGGTCTCACTTAGAAACTCTTATAGTAGCTTAGAATAGAAATGTTTAAAACTTGTCTGACATATTTAAAGTACCTGCTAGTGAGTGAATACTTTGTGTGGCACTTAATTGGACAGAAAGTACAGCGTTGAAGCATCACTTAATGATGTACCTGTAGAGACAGAATATGCATAAGCTGAAAAACATTTGTAAAGCAACAATATGTCATTTACTTTGTCACTTTGGGATCTTTTACTTCACTTTCCTTCCCAGGGCCAGTGTTAGCTCTGCAGGTATTTGGTACATCTATTCCAGATAAGCATGAAAATGGTAGCTTTTGGTGAAGCATTTTTGGCCTTGCTGTTTAGAAATGTTTTAAATCTTAGATGAAAGTAATTGGGATAATCCTTGGCTCCATTAACTTGTAGTAGGTTTAAGTATCCCCAGACCACAAACCATCCCACAAACCCATTTCAAGACCATATTTTTTTTCAGTTAATGAGAACTAGTTCTCACAGGCAATGAGTGTTCAATGACAACAAAATTTAATTAGATTTTCTAAAAATGGCTTTCATACGTGTTAGTGGGACACATGATTTGCTGAATTAATCTTTTTTCCAAGATTAGTGTTTCCTTGGAATCTTTATAGTTAAAGCCAGTCACTTTTAATTCAGTATATTGCTGAATAATTTTTCCCATATTCGTAATCCATTTGTGATCTCTCTCGCTCTCTCTCTCTCTCTCTGTCTCTCTCTCTCTCTCTCTCTCTCTCTCTCTCTCGCGTGCGCATGTGCACATACACACACACACAGACATACTCATACTCTGTTTTCTTTTAGTTCTTCTTGATTGGTTCTTTTTTTTTCTCCTCCCGCTTTTTTTCATCCCTGGCCTTACCCCATGCCTGCCCTATCCTTGTCCTTTCTGCCTTTTTAAAAATTCCCACCTAATATTTAAAGTGGGACTTCTTGCAATAGTAATTCTACCATTCCTCAAGACTTATCAGTTATTATTTGTAAAACGACAATATGTAAACATCAACTTGTGATTTCTTATTGTTCATTTTTTTCTCTGAATGTATGTATTATTTCTACCTATTTTCTGTTTTGCTTAGTCTTTCTTTAAATAAAATTAAAAAAAAAAGACTAATCAGTTAAGTGCCAGGAACTTTGTGGGTGAAAAGTCTAATATTATAAATATATTGTCATATTTTCATAGTAATTATAATGATTGGCAAATCAACTGAAACCATCTGTTTTCATCCTTATTTTCTGTTATGTGGTTCTTAGGTTCAGAATTTAACATTACGCAGCCAGAAGTTGGGTGTATTATCTAGCTCACAGACTGGTCCACCAAAAAGCACTAGCCAAACTCAGTCATTGACAATCTGTCATAACAAAACAACAGTGACCAGTTCTAAAGTCAGCCAACGAGATCCTTCTCCAGAAACTAACAAGAAAGGAGAGAGTCCAAGTCTGGAATCACGAAGCACAGCTGTCACCCGGACATCAAGTATTCACCAGTTAATAGCACCAGGTGGGATAAATAAAACTTGTTGAAAATAGTTGTATTACTCATTTTTTTTACCAGATAGTGCAAAATAAGGGATGTCTTCTATTTGAATATGAATGACTTTTAAAATATTTTAAAATGTGAATTTATAAGGATCTTTTCACTATGTGGCATAAAGAAAGGAGATTTTAAAAGCCCAGATGCTAAAACAAATCATAGTGATGAAATAGATGGATTTTGTTAATTGATATTTGATTAACATGTTCATTATGTGTTCATCTCTCTTTATTTATTTATTTTTTTTGGTACCAGGGATTGAACTCACGACCTCACACTTGCCAGGCACGTGCTTATGCCGCTGAGCTAAATCCCCGGCCCCTTCATCTCTCTCTATATTGATAAAAGCTTTAGCTTTAACTTATTATTTATCTGTAGTTTATTTAATATGTTATAGTGGAAAAGATTGTTAAAAAAACCAAAGTTTATCTATTTGTTTAAAGTCATCAGTCGGAAGAATTTGTCACTTTCCAAAAATAAGGGTTATGTAAATAAAGAAAATTACATTCTTTATGGTTGCTTTTTTTTCTATTTCTGATATTACTTGAGGGGGATGTTAGGGAATCAGGTATATTGTTTCAGTTTTCACCTAACTATGTACAAGATCCTGGGTTCACTCCCCAGCAATACAGAAGAAGATCCTTATCAGAAGTAAAAAAAAGCTTAATCTTGACAAATTCAGAAAGTGACATAAGAGACAAGTAAGGATGGCCCCACTAAGTCCATCTGTGCTTTTTCTTCTTTCTGCAGATAACCTTGCCTTATGGTTCTTTTTTTTTTTTTTTTTTTTTTTTTTTTTTGTCTGTTTGAGACAGAGTCTCACTTTGCAGTTCAAACTGGTCTTGAATTCACTTTGTAGCCCAGGCTGGCTCCTCAAACTTCCAGTGATACTTCTGCCTCAGCTTTCAAGTGTTGTGATTACAGCCATGTGCCATCATGCCTGGCTTGCGTTATGGTTCTTCTATGTATTCAAAATGTTGGGGCCATCCTTTCTTGTCTCTTGTGTCACTTGCTGAATTTGTCAAGATTAAGCTTTCTTTACTTCTGATAAGGATCTTCTGCATTGCTGGGGATTGAACCCAGGACCTTGCTCATAGTTAGGTGAGCAATCCACAACTGAGCTATACTCCCAGTTCTTTCTTAAAAGTTTTGAGACAGGGTCTTGGTGGCCTTGAATTTGGGATTTTTGTGCCTCAGCCTCTGAAATAGCTGGGATTATAGGTGTGCGTCACCAAGTCCATGATCTGATTTCTTCCTAAAGTCAGTCACATTTGCTTACATCATTGATTTGTTTTTTTTTAAAACCTGCTTCTCATGCTTGGTAGTTATTGTAGCATCTTGTGTCTTATGCTGACTCTTTTCCTTTGCTTCTCAAGTATACTTATGTCTTATCTTAGTTATGTTTCTCCTTGCTGAGACAAAGTACCTGACACTGAAAGTTGAAGGGTAAAGGTTTGTTTAGTTCATAGTTTATGGAGGTTGCAGTCCATAATCGGCTGGCTCCAAGGCAAGGTAATGTAGCAGACAGGTATTGCAGCGGAGAAACAGTTCATGATGGGCACAGGATAGCAAAATAAGCAAGGGGCAACCATAGCCTTTCTGCCTGTTATATTTCATTCATACTATTTAGAATGGATAGCATTCCCACCCTTAATCCTAATCCCCCTGAGCCTGTCCTTGCAACATGACTCAATGCCAGTGTCTGAAAAAGCACCACCTGTGACTGCATGAGGCTGGGGGCAGGGCATTTAGACACAAACCATAACAGGTTTCCTCTGTCCTTAATATATTTGCTTGTGTTTTTACACCAGTGTGTATTTGTATGAGAGATGTACTGGACCAGAAACTTCTCATGCATTTCATTTAAAAAAAAAAAATCAGTTTTTGTTCCGACAGCCTTGGCAGGTAAACATCTTTCTGTTCTATTCTAACTCTGTTTTAAAGATTTGTTTCACACTACTGACGTCTGCTTTTTTCCTGTCTATACCTATTTCTCTTTTCATATTTTCTGTTAGTATTGCCAACATCCTCTGCTCACTGCTTCTCAGGATCTTGACATTGATGACTCTAATTAGAAATTTCTCCTCACTTTGCATATAGTTCTTTCTTTTTTAATTATTTGTATACTCATTGATCTTAGACTCTCCTGGATAATAAACTCCTTGAGGGCAGAGGTATGCAGTATATATTTGATGGATTAACAATTTATTTTTCCACTTGAGTTAATGGAAATTGTAGCAGTACTTTCTCATTAGCATTAATTAGGTATCACAGTACTTTGAACAGTTGAACCTGATTCTTAGAAAAGTACTGTCGGCTTTGATATATAAATTAGTAAACTCATTCATAGTGTATGTTGATGTGCTTCTTTGTTTTTGTGTGTTTGTTTGGTTTTGGTTTTTGGTTTTTTTGAGACAGGGTCTTGCTATATAGTCCTGACATGGACAGGCTTGCACCACCACATCCAGCCTGATGGGCTTCTTTTTGATGAACATCTCTGTCCCAGTCTCCACTCTGTATGGCTTGATAACTGGCTTTTTGTACTGCACTCTCCAAAGTGTTCCCAGCCTCAAACCAGCATCTGGCCATGTTGACAGTCAGGGTGGAACAGCAATGACCCTGACTCACTGTAATTGGAATGACTATTTGGTACAGTATGTAATAGTTCTTGTAGTTTTTGGTCAATTATACTGAAAATAAATTAACTTCTTTCTGATGAAAATGTGTCTGCAGAGAAAACTAGAAACTCTTTTCAGGTCTATTTCAGCAAGAGATCTACTTTTGGATTTTTCAGTTCCCCTATACCAATACTTGGTTTCAAGTTGAAAATTATTCTTCCCTTTTTTGTTGATAATGTGATAGTATCCTTAGTGATAGTATCCTCATTGTTTGCCTTCTTTTGATGGGCAAGGCATTATTTCTTATAAGAGGAAGGCGACAAGTAGCCTAATCACCAGAGATTCAAGTCAATTTTAGTTCCAGATTCAGACTTTAAATATATCAACCAAGCTCGTTTTCCATAATGTTGTTCATTAGAAAAAGAATCACATGGAATACATTGAACTACATACAACTTTGCAGGTACAGATTTTCATGCTTGTTTAAGCCTTATGACTGCAGTTATTCAAAGCAATTCATAGCTTCTGTTAAGACAACATCTGGGGCCAAGGGTGGTGGTACACACCTGTAACCCCAGCATGCAGGAGACTGAGGCAGGAGGATCACTTTGAGTTTGAGGCCAGCCTGGGCTACAGAATGAGTTCAAGGCCAGCCCAAACTGCGGAACAAGACACTGTCTCAAAAAAAAAAAAGAAAAAAGACAACATCTATATGTTATACTTGTCAGTTTCTCTCCCCTTATTAGTGGGAAGTTACTTTGATACTTTGAGAAATTCTGAAGTTGCTAACTTGTCCTTTTCCTCAACTGGAGCTGTCTCTACATTTGAAAACTCTCCATGTATTCTAATGTAGTATAGTACAAGAATTATTATAGACATGGTTATTATGCTAAGATAACTTGGTTTTTCCATTTTTCCTCAAAGATGAAGTTTCTACTTAGTAATTTTATTTTTTTGTATTTTTCAGTAATTCTATTTTTAATAACAAAAAAATGTAAATTTAAACCAGATGAATGGAAATTATGAATAACATTAGAGTTGAAAAGCTTTAAAGCTCCATCTGTTTGTCTGTCTATTATTGGGGTGGGGATTAAATCCAGGACTTTTACACTGAGCTACATCCCCTGCCTTATTTATTTCTTTAGAGAAAGGGTCTAAGTCACTGAGTTGCCCAGGCTAGCCACCAATTTATAATCCTCCTGCCTCAGCCTCCAAAATACTTGGATTATAGGCATGTGCCAGCACACTCCACTTAAAGCAGTTTTTAAAGCTTTTATGAAGCTAGTATAGTTGAAAAAAAAGGTTTTTTTACAGACATTAGTTGAGTATGTAGTGAGAAGACTCTGAATTAGTCTGCTGTAGCTGAAATAACAAAATATCATACACTGGGTAGCCAGAGTGCCCCAAGCAAGATTACTGTCTGGCAATAATTCAGTTTCTGGTGAGGGCTCTGTTCTTGGCTTGGGGATAGGCACTTCCTTGCTATGTGTTCACTTGGCCTTTCTTTCAAGTAAGTGCACAATGGAGGAACTCTGTGAGAGCTCTTCTTAAAAATATACAATCGTGGGCCGGGGATTTAGCTCAGTGACATAAGCACCTGCCTGGCAAGTACAAGATCATGAGTTCAATCACCAGTACCAAAAGAAATATATATATATACACACAGTCTTATTATGTCAGGGCTTACGACTTCTTCAAATATAGTCACAATGAGGTTAAGACTTCAGTACAGGAAGTTTGAGGGCTGGGGCACACACTCTGTACAGACTCCTAGACTTGGGGTTATGGGTTCTTTAAGATACAGTGCTACCCTTGATATTCAGGTGATTTAGGAAAGTCGTTTAATTTATGTTAATCTGTAATATGTTAGCTTAGTATAGTATGCTGTGCACTTCATGGGTTTGTTGTAACTATTGATATAATGTTGTGATAAATAATAGTCTTAAAATATATGTATATATGTGAAAGAAATGATACCAATCTTTAATTCTCCAAATATAAGGCCACCCTGACAATAATGAAATGTTTGAAATCAGAGAAATTAAGCAAGATGACATGATTCTCTAGAGTATTGGGCTTTTCTTTCTTTTCTTTTTTTGGTATGGGATCAAACTCACTACCTTGCATTGCTGGGCAGGCACTTACGATGTTGAGCTAAATCCCCGGCCTTTTTTTTTTTTTTAAAGAAATTTATTTATTTATTTAATTTGAAGCATATGATTTTGAGAAGTCATACAATCTTGACTAATGATTTTTTCCCCAAATCCATTTTATTTTAAGGAGAAAAAGAAAAAAAATTTTTCAAAATACATCAATCAGGGGGCAACAGTGGTGCATACATTGCACCTT